CGATGGTCTAGTGGTAAACTTCACTGTTATCAATCAGATGGCCGGGGGTTCTACCCCAGAAAGTATTAATTCTATGCAATAAATGTGTTGTCGCTACCAAATTGGCTGCGAGTGATTATCATTGTTAATCAACATTGTTAATTTAACAATCATTATCGACTGAACTATCGACTTATTGGATAAGTCTGATACCACAAGAATCACGGAGTTGCTACTGGGGCTTGTGCGATACTCGCATTCAAGTTGATAATCAACACAATTCCAGCATGGATTGTCAGCTTCGATAAGAAACTTATGTTCGAGCCCTGGGCGGCCCGCTGCCCGTGCGCGGGTGACGGTCACTGTGTACCATAATGTGGCGGTATGCCGCTACGAGGTCGCCGCAGGTCATCAGCACGCAGGACTTCCTCCCCAGTGACTGTGAATCAAATAATGAGACTAATTAAATTTTCTCGCATCTAGCTGCTAGCGCATCACACCACGGCGAAGGAACGGGTTGATATCCGGCCTGAAAGAGAAGTAGCGTGCGATCCTCGTACAGGCGGCCTGTAACAGGTCGCTTCAGGCACATACTGTGTGCCTTACAGTAACTCGCATGCTTCTCGGTATTTTGTCAAAGAGCGCAGCAGCTGCCGAGGTGCTCGCCGGCACAGTGCAGAGGATGGACATGAACGTGGCGAGCGTGCTCACATCTCGATGCAGGAGCCAGAACTCGTTAGGGTCCATGCTCCGTAGGACCTCCACGTCTATGTTGGCGTAATCACCTACGAGAGAAGTTCGGAAAGCAAAAGAACCTACAGATAGCACACGAATGAAAATAACGAGTCTCTATTAGGGAGAGTAATACATGGAATCCGGGTCGTGGAAAGCATTCAAGAACTCAATTTGAACGTGGATTACTACCCTCACGGAAGAAGAATTGAACAGCGTCTTTTCCCGTTTGCTTCAAATTCCTGATGGCTTCCATGGAGCAGTCCTTAGCTTCCTAAGAGAAGATGTTCAAACTCTCTCTCTCTCTGCCACTTTAGATCAGTTTGGAATGAGCGCGGGTCGAATCTCGATATCCACAGAAGATCAGCTGCCGCGTAAGATAACCTGAGGTTGTCAAGTCATCCCGGGGCTCCACTTGTACTTATTCCAGACATCAGTTGCCTCGGTCGATCGGGATGGAGGCATAGAAATGAATTAATCTGGATAATCACTCAGAGAGTGGTCAGTACTCTGCCGCTTTGCAAGCGCAATAGCCCACGATATCAAATCTACGAGAATGGCTGTGGTATCGCAAATCCGCGCGCCCTCAGGGGAGCGAAGGGGCATTCTTTCCACTCTTATTATTTCTTTCCCATTTCTTTCCGGAAAGAAATGGAAAGAAATGGGTAGGAAGAAACTATCGCTTTGTTTCCGGGAAAGAAAGAACCCTGCCGGCAATCCTAAGTTTCCTAGGATTCCTAACGTTAAAGGTGTACAAGACGACTCGCTACGTTCCGCCAAACAGTCGTTGGTTCGAAACTCTGCAAGTACATTCTTAAATTAATTTGTAACTTAAACAAAAATCTTACAGCTATTAACAAAACTCTTTACCAATTTCGATACTTATCTGAAGCTTATAAACTTCGTTACGAAGTCTTCGTATGAAACTCCTTACAAATACTCATCTTAGGTAGAATCAAGCCTTTTTTTACTGCAAGACCCCTCCATATTAGGAAACGTTAAGATCCATTACGCGTATCGGTTGATAATAAAAGAGGTTTTATCTGTTGAAGCTGCTGAGTGGCGCCTTGAGGCACTATCTTTGTGGTCCGTGGGCAGATGAACGGATTCGTATTTCGTTTATACCAAGTATAAAATGGTGTCGAGGCAGAGTTTACGATTGGTGTTCGATCGATCCAGGCTCGATTCGTAGTTGTATGATATTTTACGTTATGTTTAATTGCCGTTAGTATTCCTAATATCCTCATTTAGCGCATCCTTACGTTAGGTAAAGACGTCCTAATCTAAGGACGCTTGTGATATAGGCCCCTGGCTTGCAGGGCCTAAAGAAGGGTATGGGAGCCGCCAATCTTCATTCATTACAGCAAGACTCGTAGCTCTCGCCGCTAGCGTGCGTCATACTCTGTCAGAGCCTTCGCAACTCTCAGGACGCTCGCCCGAGTCACTACCGGAAAACGCCTACTTGCCGATCAACTCTTGTAGCATCACATTCTCGATTTCGATGACGAAAAACGGTACATCTCAAACACAACGCACATGGACAATTTTAAAATCCTGAAATCTATTCTTGAAAAGTAGGGAGACTGTGACTAAAGGACTTGTCAAGATAAATCGGGCCTGGTATGAATGGCCTGACAACAGGTTTAACGGAGTTCATGATCTACTCGAGATCTAGAAAGATATGCTGATGATGCCAGTAAGCGGCTAGATGGCCGATTGAAGCCAACTTCTTGACGATACGAATCAATAAAGAAATCATAGGGACTTTAGAGGTGGGCGAGACTCTCCGGATCAAGGTCCACCGCTTCTCATCGCCGATGAGTCATCGGCTGATTTCAACTGCCCTCAGAGCATCAATCTCCCCGACATCGGTAAGGTTGAAATTATTGGGAATACCAGCTGTTTTAGACTTGAGAAGGACCTCAGTTAAGTTTCCACCAGCTTCTCCCAAGCTACTGATCAAGGCGCCGACACCGGCAGCTGTAGCCGTCGAAGCCGAAGTACCACTCATATAATTGTATTGTCCTGCGAGAAACGTCGAATAGATCCACACACCAGGAGCGGCGATCTTAGTAACCGATCCAGCGTCCGACCAGTCTGCGAGAGAGGCGGGCCTATCCGGGTCGGAAGTACTGGCCGCGACACAGAGCATACCCGTGATGTTCTCTGCGAACTCGCAAGGATAGGATGGCCAACTCTTCAGATTTTTCCCGGAGTTTCCAGCAGCGGCAAAGATAGCATGTCCAGCAGCCGCGGCATTCTCGAATGCGACTCTCGCGGTTTCAGTTTTATATGTTCCCCCATAGGAGTTAGAGGATACATTAGCACCATGCTCAACCGCGTAGTTCAGGGCTCTAATTGCGTTACTGATAGAACCACGTCCATTTGAACCGAGGAACTTCAATATCATCAACTTCACATAGGGTACTGTGAAGTTGGCATTCGCCACCCCTGCGATGCCGATGCGATTGTTAGTATGAGCGGCCGCGTTGCCAGCACAGTGAGTACCATGACCATTGTCATCAGTAACATCGGTAGTATTCGTAATGAAGTTGTAGCCGATTGAACCATCTTCTGGATTCTCCCAGAACTGACCGACCAAATCCGGATGAGTCATATCAACTCCCGAATCGATGATAGCCAAGACGGCATCTTGAAGGTGGCCTCTCGAAGCCGCGCGCCAGGCCTTTCCGAGGCGAATGAGCTCGAGGTTACGCTGGCAAGAAGAGGCAGGGTCGTTCGTCCAGAGAACTTGGTTACCGCCGGTACATTCTGGATTCGTTCCCACAGTCGGTTCGAAGAGTGGACTTATGGACACCTCATAGTCAGGATCGCAGTCGAAATCGATGTCAAGCATGGTTTTAGCCTTTTGCAAGTAGCCTAGAATTTGACTGTGACCAACCGAGCATGTGGATTCCACGATTTGGATGCCCACAGCCTTCAAGTCCAAGATCGCGCCATCCTGGGCGAAGCATCGTTCGCACTCAAGATCGTCAACGCTGAGAGGATACACCACTCTATCAGAGGCAGCGGTGGCCTGCGCCAGCATCTTCGGTACGAGACGAATGTCCAGGGGAGCTCCACGATGAGATATCCTCAACAGAGTACGGTCCAAGACACCTTCACCAAAGGTTATAACGCACACGAGTATTGTCGACAGACGCCCAAGCGTGCAGACATGATGATCACCCCTGAAGTACTGAAATGATCACTTTTAGACGATTCAGATCATCAGTTGTTCGAACATGTGT